TTTCTCAGGCATAGAGCAGGGTTGGGAGGACAATAGCTGTATAAACAAGCACCTTGGTCTCCCTATGGATGCCCCAGTCCTCAAACACTATCTGCTCTATTGGGAAAAATGCTGCCGCAGAGCTCAGGCGGTGTTGTATTTCAGTGTCAGACAGTAGTTCTGGGATGGTGTCATTGAATGGCCAGATGGAGCCTAGTTCTGCACGGAGAACTATTACTCTCTACTGGCATATACAGAATTGGGTTTCCAGATGGGGAGTGAGGTGGGAGTGCCATGCTAACTGTTGATCTTCCTTCATTTTCCAGCTGTGATTGTTGTCAGCCATGATGCCCGGCTTATCACAGAGACCAACTGCCACCTCTGGGTGGTGGAGGACCAGTCGGTCAACCAGATAGATGGGGACTTTGAAGACTACAAGCGCGAAGTGCTGGAGGCCTTGGGAGAAGTCCTTGTTAGCCGGCCCCGGGAGTGAACGTCAAAGGAAGCCTTTCCAACTGCCTTCCATTTTTCCAGCACAAGTTCCACTCTCACTCTCTCTCTATGCGAAGGACTCTTTATTTATGACAGCTGGGGGTGGAGGGAGGAGGAGGAGGGATTGAGCAAGTGCCAGGAGCAAAACAATGCCTCTTCTGTTCTCCCTCTCTTCCTACGCATCCCATCCGGAAGAACCAGAATGAATTGAGGGAGCTGACGAACTGTGAGCATGTCTCCGAAGGGGTTGCTTTCCCCAAGGGCCTCTTTTCCAGGTCTCCCCTTCCTCTCGCAGTCCCCAGCATTCTTTTTGGGAATCGCTGGAGCAGAGTCATGTAACCGTATTAAATTAAAATGTGAAGGACATTTTCATGCAACATCTTGGCTCTCGAGTCTTGTTATTTCGGAGCAAAGTCCCGAAGAGGCCGTGGAGCCCATTGGGCTAAGCAAGAGTGTGGGTGCCAAGCAAGCAGGGTGATTCTTCAGCTCTAGAACATTGTGCAACAGTGTGATGTGGCGGCAAAAAAAGCCAGTGGGATTTTGGCCTGCATCAATAGGAGTCTAGTGTCTAGATCTAGGGAAGTAATACTACCCCTTTATTCTGCCTTGGTTAGACCATATCTGGAATACCGTGTCCAGTTCTGGGCACCACAGTTGAAGGGAGATGTTGACAAGCTGGAATCTACCCAGAGGATTGCAAGTAAAATGATCCAGGGTCTGGAGAACAAGCCCTATGAGGAGTGGCTTAAAGAGCTGGGCATGTTTAGCCTGAAGAAGAGAAGGCTGAGAGGAAACATGATGAGGGAGACATGATGAGGGAAGCCATAGGGAGGAGAGAGCAAGCTTGTTTTCTGCAGCCCTGGAGACTAGGATGCAGAACAATGGCTTCAAACAACAAGAAAGGAGATTCCACCTGGACATTAAGAAGAACTTCCTGACTGTGAGAACTGTTCAGCAGTAGAACTCTCTGTCCCGGAGTGTGGTGGAGGCTCCTTCTTTGGAGGCTTTTAAACAGAGGCTGTATGGCCATCTGTCGGGAGTGCATTGAATGCGATTTTCCTGCTTCTTGCCAGGGGTTTGGACTGGATGGCCCTTGAGGTCTGTTCCAACTCTGATTCTATGACTCTTTTGATGGATCAAACCCCCCATAATTCCCCTGCCTGCATTAGCTGAGGGATTTTAATCTTTCTGATCCTGAAATGTTAACTTTCTGTAAACTCAGCTTTGGACACAATGCTTAAATGAGAAGTACAAAGACCATAAAGAGAAACCTTAGGATAATCATCAGAGAAGCACAGTAGACAAAGTTGAGCTGAATGGAATGGAAATAATGAGGCGGGCTGCTTGGTTTTAATTTTGAGCAAATAACTCTTTTACTGTTGCATGTACCATATTATACTTCTTGTATAAGTCTAGAAATGGGTTGCTGYGAGTTTTCCAGGCTGTATGGCCATGTTCCAGAAGCATTCTCTCCTGACATTTCACCCACATCTCTAGCAGGCATCATCAGGCATCCTCACAACTTCTAAGGATGCCTGCCATAGATGTGGTTGAAAAATCAGGAGAGAATACTTCCGGAACATGGCCATGCAGCCTGAAAAAATAACAGCAACCCAGTGATTCTGGCCATGAAAACCTTCGACAACACGAGTCTAGAAAGATATTGTCGAAGGCTTTAATGGCCGGAATCACGGTTGCTGTAGGTTTTTCGGACTGTATGGCCATGTTCTAGAAGCATTCTCTCCTGACGTTTCACTTGCATCTATGGCAGGCATCTTCAGAGGTTTTGAGGTCCTCACAACCTCTGAGGATGCCTGCCATAGATGCAGGTGAAACGTCAGGAGAGAATGCTTCTAAAACATGGCCATACAGCCCGATAAACCTACAACAACCCAAGTCCAGAAATGTTTGTCAACTTAWCCAGAGTAAGTACAGTATATTTTTGCTGTGATGGTACTGAAATTAGGGTGTGTCTTACAAATCACAATCTAAGCACTCCTAACAGACATCCAGCCCTGCTTAATTGCTTTGCCGGGTTGTGGCGCAGCTGGTTGGGAGTCAGTTGCATTAAAATCACTACTGACCAAAAGGTAATGAATCCGAAGCCAGCCCGGGTCTGGAGTAAGCTCCCATTTGTCTGGCTTGCTCTTGACCTTTGCAGCCTGAAAGACAGTTGCATCTGTCAAGTAGGAAATTTAGGTACCGCTTATGCAGTGAGGCTAATTTATGACGCCATAAAATTCTCCAGCAGCGTGCAAAAGAATGAGGAAGTACTCTATCGGTGTCACAAGTGGACGGTGAAGTGACGGCTCCTCTGGTGGCCAGAATTCAAGCATACCCTCATGAAGCTGGAAAGTTAATTAGCCTCTGTGTGTCTGTCTATATATGTAACGTGTCTATGGCATTGAACGTTTGCCATGTATATGTGCCTTGAGCCGGTGCTTTGAATGCGATTTTCCTGCTTCTTGGCAGGGGGTTGGACTGAATAGCCCACGAGGTCTCTTCCAACTCTATAAGAAGGGCGAAATATGAATACTGCAAATAAATAAATAAATTTTCCTTTAGTAGTGGCTCCCAACCTTTGGGCCTCCAGGTGTTTTGGACTTCAACTCCCACAATTCCTAACAGCTGGTAAGATGTCGGGGATTTCTGGGAATTGAAAGTCCAAAACACCCGGAGGCCCAAAGGTTGGGAAGCACTGGCAGGGACAAAGCCAGATTTTTTCCAGTCCCTTCATTTCCTCCAGGCCCAAATGGCTGGGTTAGGGTTTCAGTACCTGTACAGTAAGTTTGGAATATGATAGCGAATAGTTCAGTATAGCATAGGTCTGAATATAGAACTATTATACTACCTTGAGCTAAGTGAGTAGTAGAAGTGGACAAATAATTGTGGACACTATGAAGAAGTGGACACTATGAAATATTCTGGGGAACTAAAGAGAGCCTGTATCATTAATCTGCCATTTTATAATAGGTCAATAAAGGTTTCATCCAATTTTATCATTACTGCTACCTCTTGTACATGGAAACGCATGAAACCAATTGTTGCTATGTTGTTGTATTTATTATATGCTGTGGCACTGAACTGTTGCTGAGTGCAAGCCGTCCTGAGTCCCCCTCTGGGGGTTGATAGAAATGCTGGAAATAAATAAGGATAGGTGAAAAGACCTTCAGCCTTTTCTGCCAAAAGGGTTAAGACCATGAGAAAGATGTTTCTTCTTCGTGGAGTCTGTGAAAGACGCACATATGGGTTTTATCCTGTGCATGTGCAGTTGTTCAGAACCTTCTAGAATCTTAAAGAAACATTTTGGCAGACACCATACCTACTCTCCCCAATACTATAAATGCCCCTGGCGGGGACTGCGCCTTTGTTCGTTTTCCCGCGCTCAGCAGCAATAGGAACCTAGTCTTGCGATTGTTTCAGCCTTTATCTAAATTCATTGGACTTTCATGTTTTGACCTCAGCTTTCTATTGACTACAGCGCCTCTCTCCCCCCTTTAATTGGATCTCGGACTTTGTTGACTCAGGCCAGTTCGTTACCCCGGCTCTTTTACAGTTTTCTGATGGTCTTTGCCAACCCTTCTGACATCTCCTTGTGACGGCCCCCCAGGTATACTGGCACCCAGGTTGAGAAATCTTGATTTAGGCCAAATAACACATGTCTCTAAATAACAGACAAATTAGAGATCTCAGAACCACCAAACTGAAGAAGTATTGCCACAACAATTTCCCTCTATTTACAATGATGGCCAACAAAGTAGGCCAACCATAGTAGGCACTTTTTAAGTGAGGCTATTTAGGAATCCCCTCTGCTCTCAAAAGCTTTATAGGGTTCAAACATGGTTAGTATGTGAAAACCACCAGGAAATAACAGAAATCCCTTTGGAATTCACATGGTCGCTGTAAACTGGCAATCAGCTTGGAAGGAACATGTTTTTATACAGGGGAAAAATGCTGGCACTTCCACTTTTGTTAAGATGTTTACATGAAGTAATTAAATCCTTGGCTATTCCGTTATGAGGGCTACAATATAAGCATTCATAATGTAATTCATAATAAGAAAACTGATCCAAGACCAAAGAAGACACATTTGAACCCTCTCATTCTCATTTTCACATCGGCATCAGCCTTGGGTAGGAAATTTCTAAGCATTCCTTACTCCATCACGTGGTTATTCATTATTGTAGTTGTATTGTCGAAGGCTTTCATGGCCAGAATCACTGGGTTGTAGGTTTTTTCAGGCTATATGGCCATGTTCTAGAGGCATTCTCTCCTGATGTTTCGCCTGCATCTATGGCAAGCATCCTCTGACCTCATTACCTCTGAGGATGATTGCCATAGATGCAGGCAAAACGTCAGGAGAGAATGCCTCTAGAACATGGCCATATAGCCTGAAAAACCCTACAACAACCCATTATTGTAGTTATTATTCAGGGACTCCCGCATGGTCTGTAAGCCTTCCTTACTACAACCCCCTTACACAATGCAATTACTTTTCATGGTCAACAAACAGCCTTGACTATGATGGGTTAAATTAGATAATCCACTGTTTTCCACCATGTTTATTACTAATGTACAAAATATACAAAACATAGAGGGAGACATTTTCTTTTCCTCGGGAGAGAAGTGCTGCACCCACTGCAAGAAGAGGAGGGGGAGACAAATGAATGGTGTTACGGAGTCCACATCTCGTGAGACAAGTTTTTAAAAAGCCACAACCGACAAACGTAATACGGAGAACAAAAAAGAACAAAAGAAGTTTTACCCCCTAAATAATTTGAGTCAAGGTTCAGTTTTCACAGAAAACAAGTTGTAGGTTTCCCCCAATGATAGGATTTAGCACCAAGGGAAAGCGCATCTCTGCGGTCAATGGGAACACTGCAGGGGGGTATTTTATACACACGGGATGATGGGACATTATGAGTCAAGGACTGTGCAAGTGGCAGCTGCTGGAATTCTCCGTTCGCTTCAGAAAGGCCTCCAAATAGGAACAGTCGATTCCGATCCCACAGGAAAATGCACACACTGGCTGTTGTTTCACTTCTGCCTTGCCCCAGTGTTCCCAAGAGGGGTCTGTATTTTCCTGCTGATGCCAGATGTTCTTCCAAACCAAAGCAGAAGTCTTCAGTGCATGTTTGGTTCCTAAGAACATGCAGAATACAGTCCAGAGAATGGGATGAGCTGGGATGTTCTCTCTTCCTTTGCTGGCTTCACAAGGATAATGATACAAATTGATTGTTTGCAGAGCCCTCCACATGTCTCTTGTGCTTTCAAGTTACTAGGGAACCCATCGCCCTGCCTCTGGAAGGAAGTGGTTGTTTTTTTTCTTTTCGAGTACGTGGCAGTTCATCAAATAGCAGCAAATGCATCAGGAAGGAGCAGTGGCCTCCCCTTTCCCGAAGCATTTCAAGGGCCTCACAGAAGCCATTAAAAGAGTAGATGCAGCACGAGTCTGAAGGTTGGGGCTCGGGCCCCCCAGTCCATGGCATGGGAATGTGCGTTGAGACCACAGTTAGAGGAGACTGGCGCAGGGAGAGGGGACCGGGTCCAAAGGACTAGGGCAAAGGTGGGCCGTTCACACCCGGGTGGTAGAAGGCACAGTTGTGTTCGTACCGGCAGCTGCCTTTCATCGTGAAATGACGACACACAGGACGCTTCGACCTGTCTGAGAAGCACAAGAGAAGAGAACAGGGCCGTCAGTTGGGGCAGCAAGAAGCCCCCAAATATCATATACCATACTTCTTCGAATCTAAATTACATATGTGTTGTCGAAGGCTTTCATGTCTGGAATCACTGGGCTGCTGTGAGTTTTCCGGGCTGTATGGCCATGTTCCAGGAGCATTCTCTCCTGACGTTTTGCCCACATATATGGCAGGCATCCTCAGAGTTTGAGGGGTTCTGTTAGAAACTAGGTAAGTGAGGTTTATATATCTGTGGAATGTCCAGGGTGGGAGAAAGAACTCTTGTCTGTTTGAGGAAGGTGTGAATGTTCTAATTGGTCACATTGATTATTTATTTATTTATTTATTTCGGTTACTTCTACTCCGCCCTTCTCACCCCGAAGGGGACTCAGGGCGGCTTACAAAAGCAAGGCACAATTCGATGCCCGCATCACATAACAGCAATAAAACAAAATAACATCAATTAACGATTAACAATAATTCTTGCATTACAACCATGAAACCAATAAAACCAATACAAACCAATTTCTCCTCATTAACGGTCAGCGTTCGCTATCTCATAGTTCAAATTCCAATTCCACAATTAGCATTTAATGGCCTTGTAGCTTCAAAGCCTGGCTGATTACTGCCTGGGCGTCCTTTGTTTGGAGGTGTTAGCTGGCTCTGATTGATTGTCTGGAATTCCCCTGTTTTGTGAGTGTTGCTCTTTGTAGACGCCATTGAAATACACAAGTATGTGTACAATTTCAACAGAAAGGAGGAAACTATGAAAATGAACAAAATCTGGCTACCAGTATTTCAAAATTCTAAAATCAGGGCAGTAAATAAAGAGCAACACTAAAAAAAACACAGGGGAATTCCAGATAAGAATTAATAAGGGCCAGCTAACATCTCCAAACAAAGGATCCCCCCCAGGCAGCAATCAGCCAGGCTTTGAAGCTGCAAAGCCATTAAATGCTAATCAAAGTGACCAACTGCAACATTCACACTTGCCTCAAACAGACAAGAGTTCTTTCTGCCACCTTGGACATTTCACAGATATATAGACCCTGCTTGCCTAGTTTCCAACAGACCTCACAACCTCTAAAGATGCCTGCCACAGATGTGGGCAAAACGTCAGGAGAGAATGCTTCTGGAATATGGCCATACAGCCCAGAAAACTCACAGCAACCCACTAAATTACATAACCAAAAGTGAGTTGCACAGCAGTGTCTTCAAGTGCCTGAAACCTATTATTTTTACCTTACGATGATGACACTAAGTTTACAGAGAGGATCGGGACTTCTTTCCTTTCCAAAGCCCAGGACACCCTTGCTACAGCTGAATATGGTTTTAAATGTTTTTAAGCATTCAAAAGAGCACTCAGATGAAGCATCCCAAATGTTTACCACTCTTTTTGGTAATAATAATACTTGTTTTCTGTCAGAAATATTAGATATTAACTAGGTATTTTTAATTACAAAAACGTGGGGCAGGCACTGAAAGGGTTAAATGGATGCAGTAACTGAGCAAAAGCTGCAGATGTGATATAGCTTAGTAACCCTCAGTCTGTGAGAGGTCTTTGTGGAAGGGCTTCAGTGTGTTAGTAGGCCTACTGACAAATTACTCCGCTGTGCATTTATGAGGAGGGTCTTTTGTTAATAACTCGCCCAACACTTTCTGATTAAAGGCTGGATGTAGAACCAGCCCCATGCCACCCACTCCCCATTCCCATCCCACGAGGCAAATCAATAAGTACTTCTTCCAGTATTTACCTCCACCGTGGCCGCCTCCGTGCCCCCAGCCGTGGTCCCCTGGGTGACCTCTGCCATGGTCCCCGGGATGTCCCCTGCCGTGGTCCCCTGGATATCCCCTGCCGTGGTCCCCGGGATGGCCGCCTGGATGTCCCCTGCCGTGGTCCCCGGGGTGGCCGCCTGGGTGTCCCCTGCCGTGGTCCCCGGGGTGGCCCCCTCCTCCGTGACCTCCGTGGCCACCACCGCCGTGTCCCCCTCCGTGGCCACCTCCCATGCCGCTGTTGGGAGGGCCGCCCCTACCATTGTGGGGGCCGCCACTCCGTCCACCGCCACCTCGTCCACGGAAGGGGGGCTCTCCTCCTCGGCCGCCACGCCCCCGGTGGAAAGGGCCAGGTCCTGGGCTGCCACCTCTCATGCCTCCATGGGGCCCGCCACGCATCCCACCATCTGGAGGGTCCCAGTATCCATCGTTACACTGAGGAGGAGGTGGGCCCATCATCCGAGGTCCACTGGGCACTCCTGGCCCTGGGTGCATATTAGGGCCACCTGGGCCTCCATGGGGTCCTGCTGGAGACAAAGGAGGGAAAGGATGATGAGCATGGCCATGGCACAGCGCCTCAGGTTCACGCTGAATCAGGTACAACGCCTACATGATAGCATTTCCTTTTTAACAACTTGTCTCCACTTACCAGGCATGGGCCCTGGCCCTCCAGGAGGGAAATGCGGCATATTTTTGGGCCCTGGTGGAAAACCATTGGGCACTGGACCAGGTCCCGTTCCAAGCAGCCCGTGTGGAACTGCAATGAAAGCAAAAACATTGCTGAAGTGATTTTGAACCAAATCATCAACATCCTTGCAGGCAGGGCGTTCCCTGGGCAATGTCCTTGCAGACGGCCAATTCTTTCACACCAGAAGCGACTTGCAGTTTCTCAAGTCGCTCCTGACAGACACACACACACACACACACACACACACACACACACACACACAAATTAAGATTATTTCCCAATTAAGTGGATCTTCCCCAATTTAAGATCACTCAGATTTGGCCATTTCTTACCTCCTGAAGGACCTGGAACAGGCTGGCCCTGCAAGTTGCCCAGCAGATGCTTGATCTTGTCCGAATAATCTGGTTGTTTCATCAAGTCCTCTGTTTTAGCGTTGTTTGCACCACCCTGCATAAGACAGAAGAGAAGCCAAGGGATTAGGAAATGCTTGCACCTCGACCTGCCCTCTCCCCATATGCTATGCTGTCTTCTGTACACAAACTGCTTAGCTAGGACAAGTGGGATATTCAGTTTGAGGAGCATCAATGCATGAAATCCTGGGCAAGACTAAAATGTGGGTTTTTAACAGAATCCCATCAATTATCATCACCATCATGATTACTATTTTACATCACTGTATAATTCTTGATTATGCTTGGTTTAATTTATTGATGTTAGGTTCCAACGTTTTAATATGTGGGGCTTTTCTGGGGTTATAATGTTGGTACTTGTTTGCTTTACGGAGGCACTGAATGTCTGCCATTGTATGTTGGAATCCACTCTGAGGAGATAGGGTGGAATACAAATAAAAGTTTATTATTTCTATTTCTATTATTATTAATAATTACTTATTATTATTATTATCCCACTTTATCTCTCCCAAAGGAAAGTCAACCTCCTCCTAATACCCCTTTCCCACAGCTGAATAAAATCCTACATTATCTGCTTTGAACTGGGTTATATGGCAGTGTGGACTCAGATAACCCAGTTCAAGGCAGATATTGTGGGATTTTTCTGCCTTGATATTCTGGATCATATGGAAGGGCCCTGTGTGCAATGTAGGAATCGTCCTCTTTTTTCCCCTGCGACTGAGGCACAGAAGAGGAGAATTTTGGACCTTCTACTTATCCGAGGATGGAAGAAGGAGATGGAGGACTCCGATCTATACTTCAGAGCAGATGACTGAGGTGGCACAAAGAGCCTCCAGTCCTTCTTTCTTCCCAAGTCAGCTGCAGTTCATGTCCCTGCTCCTGATGAGGAGGCGCATGCTGTGGCGGCGCTAATTACCATGATGGAGGTGAGAATCTCTTGCACGTTGATGGAGGAGGTGGGGTTGGGGCCCTGCGGGTTCTTGCCCGCCCCCATGCTGCCCATGAGGTTGGCCAGGACCGGGGGCAGCTTGGAGCCCCCAGCTCCGTCTGGAGACTGCGAGGCGGTGGCCGGGTCGAGTCTCTCCTCGTAGGTGGCCTCATCCATGGCGCATTCCTGAGAGAGGTGACAGAGGAGACACAAGGAATCAGGAGGGGCTGGCTGCTGGGGAGCTGGCGGCTCAAACCCAGAGGACCCTAAGCAACAAGGAATTTGGAGCAGATGCGGGAGCACTGCCTGCTCTGCTGTGACCCAAGAGGTTCCCCTTCTCCAGCTTGTTTCCACTATACAGAAAGGAAATCAAGGCGCAGAGAGGAGGAAAAAAAGCAAGGACTGCAGGGTGATGGAATCCCCTTCTAATGGCAACTGGGAGCCTTGTCTTCAAATGTCCTGCTCTACAGAATTCTTCCCCTACTTCTGACCTGCAAAACATGCCCTGACTAAACTCCCCCTCTAGTTGTCACCCACCAAGTCCTTCATTTCTGCTCAGAGCAGGGGAGGGTTGGGACAAACTTACCTCATCCAGAGGAATAAGCTTTGGTGGCACTGGCTCATAGGTCTCTGGGTCAGGCTCGTGAGGGCTTTCTGGGACACTGAGGGTGAGAAAGAAGAAACTGAAAATTGGTTTGGATCCAGAGACATAGAGAACACAGGCAGAGACTAACTTCTCTAAACCAAGATTACTAGACCTGGCATTCGAACTAGTTAAAGCCTTATAGACCTGAAATAAAGACCCTTCCCCTGCCTTGTAGAAATACAGAGGGGACAAGCATGGTCTAAGCCACTGCTTCCTAAACTGTGGGTCCCAACTCCAAATGGCCTCGCTTAGCTCAATTTTGGGGGTTCCAAAAATTTGGCAGCAATAAATTTGTTTGTGCAGCATTTATGGTGAACTCCACAGAAGATGCTTCAGCTGTACTTCACAAATGAGAACATCAGCCTTGCAAATGCTTATTTGTTATCAGTAAATTACTGTTTTTATACTTATTTTATGTACCTATTCACCCAGGGTCATGTAAAAATTTCTTGGGCCAAAAGGGATCACACGAGTGGCCTAACCAATATGGAAATACAGTAGGAGTAATGAAGAGGTATAAGAAGCATTTTCCAGGTCCTCTTGAATTGGGAATAATTATATAATTTCCTCTTACCAAACTTATTTTACAAAATTCTCAATATGGATCCTCCATTGCTATTATCTTGCAAAAAGTAAGTCGAGTGGCTCAGTCTTTGGTCTGTCTTGCACTCCAAGTACTTGAAGCCCCAGGTAGGATAGCCAAAAGTATTTTGAAAAACCAAATAATTAAGACCACTTGTTGCTGTGGGTATTCAAGTCATTCCTGACTTCAGGCAATCCTAAAGAAAACCTCTCAAGGGGCTTTCTTCACAACATTTGTTCAGAATGTGTTTGGTATAGTCTTAGTCCAACCCTGATCTCCATACTAGCACACCCACACACTTTAGACAGAGGTTTCTTAGCATCTAGAACCCATTCATCAGTAATGCCAGGGATCTAAGCAGGATCTCCTATGTTCAAAATACACCAATATATAGAGCAGTTCACTGACCTTTCTTTTGAGAGAAAGAGTTCCTGTAAAATGCCCTTCTCGCGCTCAGCTTGGATTAATTTCTCTTGGCTGCCACTTCCTGGCTGAACCAGTGGAGTAGGCAAGTCAATGGGCTTTGGGTAGCTCCAAGGGACCTTCTCTTCCATGGCATCATAACTCAGCCGACGGGCGGTTTCAAAAGCATGGCGATCCTTCAACATTTCCCGCTTGGCAGCCTCCCCAAAGTCTTTGATCTTGTTTACATTGACTGTGGGATGGAATAAATAAATAAGAAATAAACTTTATTTATATCTCACCACCATCTCCCCAAAGGGACTCAGGGTGGCTTACAAAAAACACACAATAGTGCTGCGCCAAAACAGCCAAATAAGGAAAGTCTGATCAACAAGCAGGTGGAATCTCCTTTCCTGTAGTTTGAAGCCATTGTTCCACGTTCTAGTCCTCAGGGCAGTAGAAAACAGGACTGCTCCCTCCTCCCTATGGCTTCCCCTCACATCTTTATACATGGCCCTCATCATGCCTCCTCTCAGTCTTCTCTTCTGCAGGCTAAACATGCCCAGCGTTTTAAGCCGCTCCTCCTAGGGCTTGTTCTCCAGACCCTTGATCATTTTAGTCGTCCTCCTCTGGACACGTTCCAGCTTGTCAACATCTCCCTTCAATTCTGGTGCCCAGAATTAGACACAGTGTGATTCCAGGTGTGGTCTGACCAAGGCAGAATAGAGGAGTAGCACGATTTCTCTGGATCTATTATGTATTTATTTAGAACTTTTGTATACCGGTCTTCTCACCTCCGTGGAGAGACTCTAGACACTAAACTATTTATGCAGGTCAAAATCCCATTGGCTTAGTCTTATGACTAAGCTTCTCAATTTTTTTGTAACTGGAATGTTCAGTGTAGTTTTCACTGCAAACCCACTATTATTACCTAACTCCAAATTGCACAAATACTGTATTTAAAAAATATACTCAGCCTTGTGGGCTGTTAACATTTCACAACACTACAGAACCACAGAGAGGAGACTCACCTCGCTCGGTCTCATCCAGTTCAAAGTAGAAGTACTCTCGCAGCTTGCTTTCCTCAGGCCAGCTCACGGTCTTCTTCTTTTTGCCCTTCTTGGTCAGCTGTGCAGAATCCACTGGGCTCTCGGCTGGTTTGGCCTCCACCACTCCTGCCTCAGAAGAGCCTGCAATACAATACCATACCATACGCGCTCAATAAAAATAAGACGAATTGCATGCCTCTTCTGAGCTAAGTATTTGAGCAAGAAGGCTCCTGCACCAGGTTGTCATGGCAGTCCAACATACCAGTTGCACTCAGGAGAGCATGGACCACATGATCAAGGTCTCCCTTCTCCAACAGAAGAAGCCTTCTTGTTCAAGTCAAACAAGGGGGAAAATACTAGGCAAAGAGCTCCACCCAAGACTTCTGTTACACTGGTGATGACCCTACTTGTTACTTACTTGTCTCCATTGGCTCAGGGACCTCCACAGCTGGCACAGGGGTGCCAGGTCTTTCCACATCTGTCGCTTCAGATGCCGGAGCAACCTCTGGTGAAGATGGCTTGGCAGCACTGGTTTCCGGGACTGGCTTCCCCTCAAAAGGACTTGGCTAATGGTTAAGAAACATATCCCACCAATTAGTTACATTGCGAAGTTAGCATCAGCCCTGGTATCTCTTTTGCCTCCTTAAGCGAAAGGTTTTGGGTTCAAAGCATAACTTTCTTACCTTTGCAGCAGTTGGAGACAGGACTTTCTTCTTCTTCTTGATTTTGATGCCTGGAACAGGGGCTGAGTTTAGGGCATCCAAGAAACCCAAACCTTCCATAGCTGGGGATAAAATGGAGAAAACAAGGTTGGAAACAATTCTGCATTTAAAGGCTCCTAACAGCACAAACCCACTAACTGAGAAGTACATTTCACTGCATTCAGTGGCAGCTACTCCTAAGTAAATGTGAATGCATGTGCAATGTAGGCTGAAGTTTAATGTCTACCACTGCCTTTCAACCAAAACTTTATTACGGTCCAGAGACCCAATTTGAACAGCGGTAAAAGGTGCGCAACCACAGACAGATTCATAAACTGATTAAGACCAATTAAACACAGGACAACTTGCAATAAGATAGTTGGAACACTGGAGTTTGAGATGCCTCACTCCCATTTCTGCAAGTTACACATGAGCAGATTTTCTATCTAAGCAAGCTCTCTGAAGAATGAAGACCAAAAGATAAGACACAGAAACAGAGGATCTTACGTTGCGGAGGAATGATCTTCACTTTAATCTCTTTGGTAGTATTGGGGGTGGTGTTGAGGGGTTTGTACTTCTTCTCAGCTGGTGGATTCTCAGCAGCAGGAGCTGATGTACTGCAGAGAAATGAGCAAACTGTCAGTCAAAGGAAGGGAAAGGGCTAGCTAAGTCTCATAAACAATAATCCTTCTCAATAGATGGAGGTTCCCATTTCCAAATGTGAACCAGTCACCTGATAGAAACATAGACTCAGGGGGAGAAAGTAATCTGTATATACGGTATCTCAGTTTACAGCAGATATGGAGTAGGATGTTTCCTGCCCTTCTCCCTGCTCAGTGTAATTTTGAAAAATGCTTATTTATAAGAATAGTTGACGTATCTCACTAATATATTCAATTCCCACATCTAATAAAGTAAAAAATCATAAGGGATAATAGCTAAAAAAGAGATGCTTTTAAAGCAGGTCTCTTCAACCTGTGGCCCTCCAGGTGTCAGGGATTCCAACTCCCAAAAGCCCTGGCCAGCTTGTCCAATGGTCAGGAATCATAAAAGATGAAGTCCAAAACATTTGAAGGTTGTGCAGGCCGGCTCTAGGGGCGTTATTGGGACTTAAGAACTTACTTTTGTCTCTTCAGTGGTATTGGCTTCAAGTTGTATTTATCAGAGGTGACTACAGCACCCATGTTCTTCTTTACAGGAAGGAGTGATGGAGTCTCCATTTCTAAACCTGAAAGTTGACATCACAATCAGGACAGTTTTCTATTGCTGCTTCAAAACTATCTTGAACCTTTTCTCATGCAAATACCCCCCCAAAGGAAACCAGGTTGTAACTATATTGCAAATGTGGTAGACAAATTGAGTTCATTTGGAGCAAACCAAGGTCAGCCCAAGTATCCTGTATTGTCCCCACCTGCAGACACAGTCTTGTTACAGCAGAAGCCAAGTACTTAGATTCAGATGCACAATGCTTACCAGTGGAACGGAACTTGGCATGGCTGGGTGCAGTGGTGCGGAGAGATTTCGGCTTTTCTTTCTTTTTCTCGGGTGTCTCCTCAGGTTTGGCTTCTGGCTTGGGCTCCTGAGGCTTCTCCTGAACAGGGCTCTTGTTTTTACTCTCCTCCTTGCGCTTCTTCTTGTCTCGCTCTGCAAGGAAGATTATCATCAAAAGAGGTTCCTTTTGTCAGCTCTCTATAGATCGATGAACAGTTCTCGCCTAGTCTAGCCCATATCAAACATTTGTACCCTTCTAATTTGAATGTGAAGAGAATACCCAGTTGTATGATTCTGAGAGACCACAAAGAAAAAAGAAAAAAATATGCATTTCTCTTCTAATTCAATGAGAGAAAAATACTTTGTTATTATGTAAGGGTGTTATAAATAATGGATCTTTCTATTATATACTACAAGGGGAGAGTGGGCAGGGTTACAACCAAAGTGTTCCATTTCCAACATCTAGAGAGTGCCGAACCCATATGTGCGCATTTCTGAGACCAGAAAGCTTACTTCGTTATTATGTAAGGGAGGTATAAATAATATGTCTTTCTATTTTGTTTGTGCCTTGAGTTACGATTTTTTTTGCCGTGGCTTCAAATAATTTGACTTACGACAATCCTATCAAAGTTTTTTTCTTGGGGGCGGGATTGCAAAATTTCCTCAGGATTGCTTGAGTAGGATTCAAACCTGGATCTTTTTGAACCCTGATCGAATACTCAAATCTCTACACCATGCTGGATCTTGGCCTGTGCTTATCAAAGTTACCTTTCTGTGCTTCTATTTACAGATTTTTTTCAACCAATATGGCCAAAAATAACAAATGACTATTGAGCTATATGCTCTCTAATGAAGACGGTCGCAGCCTAGTTTTCAATTGCAAATCTACTGCAACTGAAGTATCTTTACAGCAAAAACTACTCACCTGTTGGTTGTGAGCTACTCTGGGAGCGGATTACACCCATCCAATCACTGACAAGTACGGAGGCCAGTCTGCGAAGCTCTGGAAAAAAATGAGATAACCATTCAATAAGCTGACATAAAATCATAAAAACCACTCCCATAGAAAGTCTGTGGAGCATTTCTAAATCCTACATATAACCAAAAGCCAAGTTAATACCTTCATCTTCACTTGACTTGCTGAGCTGCTTCACCAGCTTGGCAGTATTGTTCTGAAAGAGATGAGAGACAAATACCACCATTTATGACATGGAACACCACCAAGGCAGGTTTTTATTAATACAGTGTCATTGATCAATGTACTTTGCGGAAAAATAACAAGACCAATACTACAGGAAATTAACCAAAGGAGTAGTATCCAGTGCTGTTTCACTGACTTACTTGTTTCAGATGATCTACTGTAAGAGGCAAATGCTGCAACGTGAGCAGAATCTGCTGGAGAAGGGGCACATTGTTGGATGCTTTGGAGCCAGTCAGCCAAGTATTGAGAAGCTTGTAGCCACCAACCTTGATAAATCTGCAGAAGTTGACATGGATAACTAAATTCAGTATCATATATATAATTTTAAGAGATATGCATACACAACATTTACAACTCCCACCACCACCACAAGGACTGTTTTCTTTTACATATTGATCTTTTTTGAGTCAATCCTTCTAGATTTACATACTATATAACATCTGTATCTTATTTCTTATGGCCTGATCTCTAGACTTATTCATAATATAATTCTTGACCCGGTTCCATCTTTTTTCAGCTTCTCGCATTCTATTTTCATTACCCTTTAAATCATTTAATCTTACATCAATAATTTTGAATTCCTTTTGATCCAGCATGTACTGATACCATTTATTTACTGTCCTCTTTGTTTTTCCATCCCAATAGTATCATTGCTTGTGTGCACTCAATTATTGCTTCCTTTATTTCCTTGTAATTTCCCATTCCCTCTCTCTGTACTAGGCCGCCATTTCTTTTGTTATAACTAAATTCAGTATCAGATGCTACTAGTTTGTACTTTGTAAAATGCAAACTGCCTTGTAGCTTCTTTGGTGAAGACACAAATTAGTTACGTCTCATATTCCTGCTTTCAAGAGTTCCAGAGGTCTGTCTTTACTTCTGCTCCCAAAATCTAGCTCTTTCTCCCTCCTCCCTCCCACCTCCAATAATATCAATCTAAAACTATGGTTGGAATCAGAATAAAATGACTGCTTGTGTATTCAAAGATCTCTGTAAATCTAGTGACCAGACTCCCAGCCTACTCTCACCTATTCTCTACTTGCAGAATGAACCCCCCTCCCCATTTCATTCCCCAGAAACATTCAGCAGGGCTTACTTGGACAGTATATCTTGCGCTCGGGTCTGCAACAAGATGTTCAGATAAATGCAGCGACTGACCATTTTTTGAGCATCTTTCATTAAGCTAAGATTGGGAAAAAGAAATAAAGACCTTTACTTCTACTGCAGAGTCTTCTGAGACAATCAGAACATTGATTATGCAGCGGTCAATTAGCATGTGAATCGCTGTCAGAGGAGCAGATACCAATTTACACAAGTTTGTATGCAAATTTGTTAAAACCAATTAAATTTTTGTCAGGTTTTTGATGACCCAGTAACTTGTCCTTGTCAACCGAATTCATACACCAAGATCCAGGTAGCTACTGTGTGTGATGGGGAGCCAAATGAATATTAACACTTGCCCAGTAAATCTTGACTGCTTTCCTCATGAACCATTATAAAACCATGCATATCGGTTGCTACATCATGCACATACATACATGTCAGCAAGTTAGAAGTAATGCTGGATAATCTTTCTGGTAAGTAACTTGATCCCCAATTTTAGAGAACCATGGGAGTTCTACCACCAACTTGTGCAAGTCACTATATTAAAAGCTCTTTTGGAACCTCACAGGCATCACAAATTGCTATGGCAGGATATAATGGGAATGGCTTTTGTAATATTAATATTAACTCAAGACATCAATGTTTTAGTGCTTTCCAGCGACAAGAACTGAAATGATTGCATTTTTATACTATTAACCTACTTGAAAATTTTAGTGATCCCTTCGTGTGTTTTGATTTCTCCATCTTTGCCAAGGAAACAGTCCAGTCCTTTCAGAAGTTCTTTAGGGTCTATTGGTCTGGAGCCCATGATGGGAGATTCTGTTAAAAAACAGGGGAGAGGAGGTTACCAACTACCCAACTCTTCCCCAAAGTGAAGAGAATTTCTATTGCAGAATAGTATGCAAACATCTCTGGCAGCAGCTTGTTGTCGCAGCAAGAACAAAGTATGATCATATTTCCTCGAGCTGAAAAATAAGCTTCTGGTTGGAGGCATCTCCATCACTTGTAGAGGTCAGTGCTTAAGAAACTAATAGTGGGGGGCGAGGAGGGGGAATCAAAGGGACAGCAAATTGGTCCTGGCCTCTGTATCAATACAATCACCAGAACTTTGATCTCAGGATGTCAACAGCAAGTCAAATTCCCATGTCTTCAGGCCCATATACATTTGATTCACATTGTTACACTTAAGCTGAAAGAAAGATTTACCTCTATCATTCTAAGCTATACTAATGTTGAGTGAAGCTTTTCTGGAGTTTTACAAACTTAACTGCTCAAGTTTGTGCAGGCTTACTGTCAGTTTCACTAGCCTTTCACTAGCCTATCCCACAACCAAGGTACAAAACTAAATTAGACTCAAGTATACATAGGATGGTAGCTTCACATCTCCTTTCCTGGCCTTTAGTAAGCAAAACAAGTTTCATTTTGTATATAGGAGGCTTACACATTTGACCCTAAAGTATACTAAATAATTTGGCAAGATGGGAGTAAGCAACGGTCCCTGCACTCTCTAGAATGGTGCAAAGCCAAAGTATTACAAGAATCAAATGGTATTGGTAATCAACTATTCACTGCATTTTGCACTCAGTATATTCTTTAACAGAAATACGGAAGAGTGAAGGGTCTACACAAAAGACTCAAGAGGAATGAACATCAACAGTGTATCTCTTTGATGCATTTTTCCCACTGGGTCCTCAGAAACCTTAATGCTAACAGCTCATGCTGTTCACTGCTTTGTTGGCAGGATGGTGAGGAAGCAGAAAGCCATATCCTTTGTCATTATTGAAGCTCAATTATACATGGTCTTTTCAGTATGAAAGCTCATGCCAAATTCTGTTGGCTCCAAAGTATCTACTTACTAGACTGAGTGCCAAATGGAGGCAGCTCAAAATAGTCCACTTTTAAGGTACCACAACATACAAATGGTTTGTTAGAGGTGTGCAGAAAATCAGGTGCTTCATTTTAAGTTACAACTAAAGCACACCTGATGTTCAACCTCATTTATGTGCTCACAAGGCTCATAGTATACTATCCATGAATTCTATGCACAAGTAGCTTATAACCTCAGTTTCTATGCATTATCAAGCTGTGGATGGTGACCATTTGACAATGGCTAGGTCAGTAGATTCGCACACTGCTGGTGAAAAATGTAATTTGATAATCACTCGTTTTTTACCCAACAGGATAATTTAAGCACTTTCCCTTCCTACTGCTGTTTCTTTGCCTTTGTGGCCATTTATACACTGGGTGGAACTACTGCTATCTCTTTACAAGCATGGCTTGCTCCTTTGTGTATATTCAGGACACACAACTGTTCTAGTGTCAACCTGTTTCATAGTTGTTTTGAATGTCAAGCACTAGCTATAAACACTGCAATAAATCAAAAGCAGTTGGTGCTTTTGTTATCTTTTGATAGTTATGTTTACAAGAAATGGCATGCCATTCAAGTGCTCCTTTACATCTGATTGCTAGGCCCTGAATGCAGAACTCTTTGTTGGCAGTGGCCTGCTAGTATCAGTAGCCTAAGTGGTCATTTTTGTCTTTCTACCACAGAAGTACAATTTAAAAATTGTGCTTTGGGTGTTCTGCAAGGTAATCTGTATCTAACTTTGATACCTTCCTACTGGTTAAGGGCCAGACAATACTGAGTGGTCTTTACACGAATGCAAGCTTCTGTTTACTGGTATGAGAAACAACTTACATGGATAACTCAATGAAATACCTTAGTTTTTGCATTTTTATGTGGGAAGAACTACCCCACATCTGTTAAATATGCTATTATCTTATAATGTTGTCTGTATGGATTCCCTTAAAAGAAGCCTGTGCCTATATGGATGACAACACTGCCTGCTTTATCTTTCATGAAGTAACACTAGGTGTACAATAAGGAGTAATGCCAGTGGCAACATGTATCTAGTCCACACACATCAATTGCATGGGCTGCATTCTGGAGGCATTTCAGGTAACTGCAGGAATCTACTACAGGTGGCCAATTGAGGTGCCTTCTATGTAAGTAATCGCACACCGTGTGTATTGGGGGAATTATATAATTGGAACCTTTGATCCAAATCCCGCAATTCTCACAGCCATGTTTACTACATTTTGTGCAGCAGTCATTTTCCCTTAAAAGCAGCCAGGCTGCAACCAGGTGTGGTCCCATGTTCTTCTAATTTCTTGATTTTGTTATTTTAAAGCAGTCCACTGCTGGAAGGAATCAATGGGCATTGTTCTTATGAAGGCAGCATCCAAGAAGTGGATTGGTCCTCCTGTGCCATCTCGAGAATGGAAATAGGTGTTACCAGCTTGGCGCTTGCAGCGATCGGTGTCCTATTCCAGTCCAGTTCTGAAGCATTTCCACTGAAGCTCCATGTTAGTGAGTTCACTCTGTGGTGGAGGCCAATGGCCATGTGGGCTTTGGAGACTGAACTCCCCTTTCACCCCACAAGGCCTTCCACAATCAAAGGGAACCATACAAAGCTGAGGAAGAGTTCCAATGATGATGTTTGGGCTCAGCCTGCCTTGGCAGTGAAGAGGACTTCAGTCTCCAGAGCTGTCTATCTGGCACTGTCCAGCACTACATTCCCAGGAAAAGAGTCAAAAAATACAAAGGTTAACTTTTGCTCCAATTGAACTACCCCTGCCTCCCCATTCCCTCCCACACTGTAGCCTTGGCACCCCAAGGACACTCCTAACACTTAGGAAGGGAAAGGGATTACTTGGTTCAGATAAGCTTTTAAAGAACACTCATCTATGAAAGGAAGCATCTTGATTCTTTGCTGAAATAAAAACCACCATAGATCATTGTGCTCATTCTTAAGTCTAAATTTTCCAAACTTGCACTTGAATACTTTGCCCCATCCCCATTCCATCTGTTACATGGACTAATGGATCTAGAGTTGCACAATGAATCAAGAAAAATGGGTTAGCATTTCAGAAGATGAATGGCACTAGAGGTATTTTGTGACTTAAGAGATTCTAGGTAACACCCACTCTCATGTTTTCAGTTTCTGTAAACAACATTTGGCTTTATGTTATATTCAAATTTCAGATCTTTATGAATTTAGGTATATTTAGAAGGTGCCGTATTCTAAACTTGGGCATTGAGATAAATTCAAAAAATGATGTGCAAACTTTGAAGTCCTGTAAATATCTTCTGACAAGATTTTTAGAATAAAGCTTTGCTTCTAAGAGAACACAGGACCTGAAAACTAACCAATGTATTATGTTATAAGCTTCTATGAGTAACATGCACATGGCAGAAGCAGCCTCCAGACTCAATTAAGTTTATGCCACTGTACCGACTAGTGAAGATGCCTCAAGCTTGTACAGCTTTTTGCTACAACAGCCTACAATTTATGAAGAATGTTCAGAATTCTTTCTGCCCAATTATAGTTTCAAGACAACACATTCTTAAATAGTATTTCATGATGCATTTCTCATCTTCTAACAATGCATCCACTTTATGTAGTTTTCATCTCTTTTCATTTTACCTTTCCGAGATGCACAAAAAGCTGCAGTGTTTGTATTTCAAATACTGTGCAATCATTTTTCCTAGAGACTGAACTCTAAAAACCCTGATGATATAGCAGATATGAACAAGAGACACAATTACTACCGAAATTAAAAATTTAAGTTCCCCAAACAAATAGAAAATAAGTCTAACTAGAAAATTAGGTTTTTAACACAATACTATGCAAGTTGAGAATAACTTCTGTATACCATAGTAATTCTAAATTACTTTAGCATGGTCCCAAACAGATGTTGATCAATTAACCCACTTTAATAAACAAGTTTGTTATTATAACCAACTTCTATACATGCTTACTTGGATTTCAACAGCCTTCCAAGTACGCACATTTAGAACTGTGATTTTTGAAGAAAAAAAGGTAGTCAATTGATGACATATGGAATACAGTTACACATATTTGTTTTTAAACTGACAGCTTTAAAAGACAGCCTGTTGGTAGTAACCTTTTTAATTGCTTATAAAGTTCAAATTGTTACTATGCTCCAAAATAGCTTCATTATAAAAATTACTAAAAATGGCATTGTCTGTTTAATTTCAAGCCTCAAAGATAACCAATTTTTAAAAAAGCTCTTTTGATGCATTTATCTGCAATCCCCACAATACATAGCCAACATATGTTGGGAGACCCTAAATGCTAATTCCAATTTAAGACCCTTAAATCAATTAGAGTAAATTACAAATTGAGACTAACATTTCAGTGTTAGCGGCAACCCACTACTTTTCATTTCAGGCCATTTACTGCTTTTATTTCCAACTGTAACCTGATTTGCTCAAAGTATTGACTATGATTAAAGACAAAGCATTAACAAATGCTCAGTTGTTCTTAGAATGCAGAATTCATTGCACAAGCAGTTATGTTTTTCCCATTAAAGCTGCAATTGTACACAGTATAAAATTACTGTGTTCAATTCCACACAACCATGTAACCCAGAATGACATGTCACAAAATCCCACAATCTCTGCTTTAACTGTGTATCTTGAGTCCACATTGCCAAATATTCCAGTTCAAAGAAGATAATATGGGATTTTATTCAGCTATGTGGAAGTTCAGCAAGACCTGATTCCAAGTGAAAATGTATAGGAATAGGATACACAAAGCCATGCTGAACAGCACGAATACTTATTTAAGTAATTTTCAGTGTTTTATAATATTGGAGATTCCAGAAAAATAATAGACAATGTTGCAACTACTTCACATCAGAAGCAGTATTCTCCCAGAAAAATGGTGTCAACAGTTTTACAGCTTTAACTGTCCAGGAGATCTATAGACCCATACTTCTTACAATGCTCGTTG